GGGGCATGTGGGGGACAGCTGGGGCGGGGGCATGTGGGGGGGAGCTGGAGCGGGGGCATGTGGGGGGCAGCTGGAGTGGGGGCAGGGAGCATGTGGGGGGCAGCTGGTGTGGGGGCAGGGAGCATGTGGGGGAGCTGATACGAGGGCTGGGGGTATGTCCGGGGGATCTGATATGCGCTGGGATGTGGGGGGGAGCTGGTATGGGGGCAGGGAGTATATGTGGCGGGAGGTGGTATGGGGGCAGGGAGCTGGCAGGGGGCATGTTGGAGGGGAGCTGGTACGGGGGCAGGGAGCATGTGGGGGGAGCTGGTACGGGGAAGGGGCATGTCGGGGGAGCTAGTATTGGAGAGGGGGACATCTGGGGGCAGGTGGTATGGGGAAGGGGGTCGGGGATATGTGGGGGGAGCTGGCAGAAGGGAAGTAGGGGGACATGATACAGGGCAGGGGGGACTATGAGGAGACCTGGCAGGGTGTGTGTGGGGTGGGGAGGGGGAGCTGGTATGGAGCAGGAAGCATGTTGGGAGAACTGGTATGGGGTCAAGATTTATGTGGGGGGAGCTGGCCAGGTGCGTGTGGGTGAGCTGGCATAAGGGCATGGTGTGTGTGTGTGTGAAGCTGATAAGGTGCATGTATGGGAAGCTGATATGGGGCATAGGGGTTGTGTGGGGAGCTGGCAGGAGTTATGGGGGAGCTGATTTTGGGAAACCGGGTATGGAGTGAGCCTGCATAGAGGCAGGGGGTAAGGGAGGAGCTGTCCAGAGGGTCAGTTGGCATGGGGGCATATAGGGATGAGCTGGCACGGTGGGGGAGCTCACGCAAAGTGCATGTAACTGGCATAGGTGTATTGGACTGCCATGGGGTAGCATGTTGGTAGAGGGCTGCCATGGTGACATAAGGGGGAACTGGAATGTATAAGGAACTGGCCCAGTGGGGCTGGCCTGGGGGCAGCTGCCGTGTGATTCTGGGGAGGCATGAAGGAAGCAGTAGAGATCTGGTATGTGAGAGGTAACAGAAGGGGTTTGACATGGATGTTTGATAGGAGGGACTTTTTTGGGGGGTTTTAAGGGAGATAGGGAGGTATAGTAGGAAGGGTCTGGAAGGCATGGGGCTGGAATGTGAGAGCATTTGGGCAAATAATGGAGGTGAAGGCCTGTGGGAGATGGCAGCAGGAGAGAACTTGGGGGATGGTGGTGGTAGCATGGTGGGGAGTTAGAAAGAAAGGTAACCGAGAGCTAAAGGTTGTATATGGGGAGCTGGAATAATTGCCCTGAGCCCTTGTGATAGGCTACACTTTATCCATATAAACAATAAATATATTAAATGCAGGAGTTTGGCAGGAAGACAAGTTGTATGTGGAAAGCTGGCATAGGTGGTATGGGGAGGAGGCATAAGGGCAGCTGCTAAAGGAAGAGCTGGCAGGGGTGAGGAGAATTGGCAGGGGTTATGGTGGAGCTGGCAGGTGATAGGAAGGAGTCATAGGGAGACTTGGCAACCATACAGGGAAACAGAGGATCTGGCAAGAGCATGGAGGTGGGGGAGGTGAGAAAGCGGGTTCCATTCCAACTTTCACCTTTCCTTTCAGTTCTAAAAAGGAATTAAATCCTTGGGTTCTTGGTTAAGCTTATTTATTATTTCTCTTCTTTATAGAGGCTATGTTTTAAACCTAGGTTTGTGTAGGCTTTTGGAAATCCATGCAGGTTGATGCAGACGGGCTATTTTTAAAATGAGGGGATGCTTCTGTTTTGCAGCATACAGTGCAGGAATGTGTGCTTAATGTAAAGAAGTGGGGGGCAAACAGTGTGGAGAATAAAAATGGATTGTTGTATAATTTTGTGGTGGGGAAGAAATGAATTTTGTGGTTTCCCTAGCCCGTTTTGTGTCGTATTGGAATGCAGGGTTTAAAATGACACAGATTTGATGAGATTGAGGATGTCACCACATAACATCTGTAGCCTGAAAACAGAGATCACAAGGTTGAGAAATATAAGGCTGCATTAATTTTCCACCTATATACTATTTTACTAACGTAAAAAAAAGGGGTTAGGATTTTTTCTTTTTAAAAATTGATTGCTTGAAGATTTCATTTATCGGTGTCATGGTTTTCAGGGCAATTAAGTCCACCATCATTATATTGTGGGCTAATAATACCAGAGAGGAGTCTTGGCTTCAGTCTTTTATGTAAACAGAGGAGCGGTGAAATATGGAAATACAATAAATATTCATTGAAGAAGGTTTTGTACTGGTTATTTTTTTTCTGCACTGCTCGATGACAAGCTTTCAGGTTATAGCTTGTATTTCCATAGATTGAATTTCATCCAAAAGGAATTCAGTTGGTGCTGAATACTGTCAAATTTAGAAAAACGAGCAGGTTGAGTGAATTTTTCTTTCCAGACAAAGGCATGTTGTGTTAACCAAAAAGAAACTCCGTTTATGTTTTAATCACAATAAGATTTAAGATGAAGTAGTGTGTTTATTCTTACTGAGAAATTGTGATGGAGGAAAGTAGAACATTTTCAAGGAATGTGGATGACGGAAACATCTTTAGGGAAACATTTTCTTGGACTTGATTGCATCAACTGCATTATTTCATGAAATGTTAACTGTGAAGTGGTTGTTGATTAGAACTCAAACTGAGTGGAGACGGTGAATGATGTAAAGAAAAATGGAGATTAGTACTATGAGATCAAAATGATTTTTTTATTTCTTACTGAAGTGCACCTCTTTTAAATTTTAACTAGTTTTCTCTTGACCTTTATAGTTGAGTACATAAAACAAAACTGATGTGCTTAATGTTTGTTCTTACTAGATATGTACAATTATTGAAAGGACTTAAATCAGTTAAAAATTTTTAAGCTACTATGAAAATTAGAACTGATATTTATATGTCTCAAATGAAAGTGAAGTAATCAAGTTACCTAGTAGTTCTTCCTTAACTTTTTTCCAAGGTAAATAAAAATATTTGAATTCTCAGTTATATTCTGGCTGGTTGATTTAATTGATGGCTTAAAATTCTAACTTTAGATTGTTCATAATGAGGAAATGATGTGGAGAGATGTGTGTGTGTGTGTATGTATATATATAATTTTAAATTTCAAATTTCTATGTTAATTATTTTACATACTGGTGTTAAGATGGGCCCTTTTACAGATAGGTCTGTAAAAATGTTGCATCCTTTTTGGTTGATTAAAATACTTGGTTATGCTTGTAGAAAGGGTTTGCTAAGTGGTAAATAAAAGACATTTTGAACACATTTGTTTCACCCTTTTCTATTATGGAACAAGCACATTGAAACCTAATCAGCTATATGGTGCATGGGGTTAGTTGTGAATTTGTTCTTAATAATGGACTGTTTAGAGTGAAAAACAAATGATACATGTGTGGAACATAAAAATTATGAAGTGAAATATCTATACATTGTTCTTCCTTAATGAAGCTGAATCTAATTGAACTGTTACTTTTTTTATTCAGCTGATGCTAAACTACCTGTCAAATTCAGTGATGATTGAACGTTGGAGTGGATGAACTACTCTTGATGATGATTTTAATAAAATAATTGAGAGCAAAGTTGCAAGAAGAAATTAAAAATAAGTGTTCATGTCCCATTATATTAATAACCACAGTAGAGGTACCAGAAAAAAATTAAAAAAATACGGCTCTTGGTGCATTTAAAAATATTTCTTAGTCAATTGAAAACACTTCAGTGAAACATTTCCACTAAAGGGTCAATAGTACCTCAGTTGGAAGTATAATTAAATTTGCTTAATTTCATTATGATTTTAATCATTCAATCTGACTGGAAGTGCAGGTAAATTTCAGTATGGCCTAAAAATTGCCAAGTACCTTCCTTAGGTGGACATGTCTGTATACTTCAGATTAACATTAAGTCATGCGTCTGACGAAGTGGGTATTCATCCGCGAAAGCTTATGCTCCAATACGTCTGTTAGTCTATAAGGTGCCACAGGACTCTTTGTCGTCTTTTACAGATCCAGACTAACACGGCTACCCCTCTGATACTTCAGATTAACAGCCACTTCTGATGAATTTTAAAATGTGACAGTAATGGGTGGACATATGATCTTTCGTAAAACACTAGGTGGATGGATTTGATGAGGTTTTTAAAGGGAAATTTTTATATTTTCCTTTCTGAGACCACCTTCTTTCCTTCAATCCAGATTATGATCTTCATTTGTCTTCCAGCCGTGCTCTTTGGGCTTGATTATATCTGCAGAAGCCCTGATTTCCTTTTTCCCCAACTCAAATGCTTTGTGTGTTTCCCATTTTCTTGGTAATTCATAAAGGCTCTCCTTAGACCAGTGGTGCCCAAACTTTTCCTGTTGTGTCCCCTTACCGGTAATGAAATCTGTCTGTCCCCCCTTCCCTCCCCCCATTACTGCACAGCTGGCTCAGCAGAGGAGGTTGGGTTGAAGGCGGAGCTGGGGGTGGAACTGGGGAGGAGGAGCTCGGCCTAGAGGGAAAAGAGCAACGCTGGGGCTGGGGGTTGAGTGCAGTTGTGGCTGGGGCGGCGGAGTGGAGCTGCGACTTGGTCCAAAGCTGGGCTCGGGACGGAGTGGAGCTGGGCTGGGTGGTGCTCCCTCCCCTGAATG